CGCTAGTCAAAAAGAGGACAAAGCTTAACATTCACTTAAACACAAAAACTAAACGCAAACTGACCCCAACAAGGAGCTAATACTATGCACAAGGAGGCAAAAGCGGTTGCCTCCTGGCACTCGCGTTGAAAAAGCAAAGGGAAACTAGCTTTATAGCTTCTATACAAAACAAGGAGGGCAAAACATCTCATGCCAGATAACCAAAGCCTTCCATGAATTCTACTCTCCACTCTACAACCTAAGAACAACTTCCCCTCCACTAGCTGAAATCCAGGAGTTCCTCGCAAACAATCTCGTCCACCATCCCAACCAACCTTAGGCACTCACTAGACCAACCCATTACCATTCAGGAATTTCAGGAGGCAAACAAACACATGCCACATGCCAGATGGTTATACCACAAAATATTACAAAACATTCTCAACACTACGGAAGCGCTACGGAATCTGTTGGCGCTATATAAATGACAATAATAATAATAATAATAACACCTAGCGCACCCCTTTCTTAATTCGTTCAACTCTCTACTGCAAAGGACTACCCTCCCTCCACAAGCGCTGAATGCCACAATTACAGTCAAACCCAAACCAGGGAAAGATCTAACACAGTGCGGAAGATACAGGCCAATATCAACATAGACCTCAAAATATTCACAAAAATTCTATCAAATCGCCTTTGTCCACTGCTCACAGACCTAATACACCCAGACCAGTCGGGATTCGTGCCAGGCAGGGAAGCCAAAATTGGATGAGATGGCTGGAAGCTATATACTCCAAACCAACAGCACATATACGCATCAACGGCCAGCTATCGGACCCAGTCCGGATTTCCAACGGCACGAGACAGGGGTGAGCCCCGTCACCTCTGCAATTTGTACTGGTCCTGGAACCATTCTTGCAGGGAATCAGAGATAACACACACATTTGAGGTATCCAAGTAGGCGACATAATCCATAAGACAGCTGCATTCGCAGAAGATATGTTGTTCACGATCACACACCCCATTGCCCTACCTAATGACAAAATGGCACTATACAGCAAACTCTCCAACTTTCAAGCGAACCTTGGTAAATGTGAAATTCTCCCGAATACACTACCCTCACACACCATGGATCAACTACGACACGACTACCCTTTCACGTGGGCGACCGGGTCACTCAAATACCTACCTAGCGATACTACACCGTTTACAACAACAATTTCCCCAAATTGATCCAAGCAATATCCATTGACCTTAAGTCATGGAACCTACCCCACTTCAGTTGGTTCAGTCGAGTAAACACCAAGATGAATATCCTACTGCGCATTCTTAACTTACAAGTTCCACCCATATCCCTACCCAAGCACTTATTTGACGCACTACGCAAGATATTTACCACCTACATATGGGCCAACAAAAAACCTAGTATACCATTCACACTACTCAAAAGGCCAAAGGAAGAGGGAGGGTTGGGCCTCCCAGATGTGGAGTTATACCACAAAGCCACCTTATTAACTAGGATACACGAATGGTGCAACCCACACTCTGATAAACAATGGGTAAAACTGGAGGACGCCTGCTTCAGGACCCCAATCTACACAGTCCCGTGGCACAAGGCAGGCTTAGCTCTGCTACACCATACATCTCACCCCACCATCACCCCCACACTCCGCATGTGGGCACATATACGTAACCACCTAGACATGTCCCCATTCCCCTTGCCATTATACCCGATCACACACAAACCTCTGTTCACCACGGGAGCAGATGGGAAGGCTTATAAGCAATACCTACTGGTCCCCAAACCCCTAGTCACCCCCCTCCCCCAAAAAACTAACCCCTACCTATCCCCCTCACCATAAAAATAATGAGTAAAAAAAAAAGTAAGTAAAAAAAAAAATATATATATTAAATTAGAATATGGGGGACCTAATGTCCTCCCCCCGGCCCCCACCCCTGAGCGGTGAGTGGGGGCCCTAAATACTAATAAGGGGGGACCTAATGTCCTCCCCTCTGAACGGTGGGTGGGGGCCCTAAATTAGAATTGGGGGGACCTAATGTCCTCCCCCCTGAGCAGTGGGTGGGGGCTCTAAATACTAATAAGGGGGGGACCTAATTTCCTCCCCCTGGCCCCCACCCCTGAGCGGTGCATGGGGGCCCTAAATAAAAATTAAACCCCCCTCCCCGAAAAAACTAACCCCTACCTATCCCCCTCACCATAAAAATAATGAAGGGGGGGACCATTAACTAAGTACCTGTTAAAAAAAAAAAAAAAAGAAAATTACCATTTGATGTTTTCTTTCTTCTAAAACCTTCTCTTTTCAGCCCCAAAAAAGGCCAAATAAAAAATCCATAATAAGTGACACACAAAACAAACAAAAAAAACGAACGCAAAAAAAAAAAAACAATCCTCCAACCATGGAGGAATTTTTTATTTGGACTTTTTGGGGGCTGAAAAGAGGTTTTAGAAGAAAGAAAACATCAAATTGTAAGTTTTATCTTTTTATACAGGTACTTCGTTAATGGTCACCCCCCTCATTTTTAGGGTGATGGGGGTAGGTAGAAGTTAGTTTTTTTGGGGAGGGGGGTGACTAGGGGTTTTGGGGATCCCTAGTCACCTAGAGGAGGGGGGGGTTAATTTTTTATTTAGGGTCCCCACCCGCCGCTCAGGGGGAGGACATTAGGTTCCCCCCTTATTAGTATTTAGGGCCCACACCCACCGTTCAGGGGTGGTGCCAAGGAGGACATTAGGTACCCCCATTTATTAGTATTTAGGGCCCCCACCCACCGCTCAGGTATTAGTATTGTTCCCCCCCTTATTAGTATTTATGACCCCCACCCACTGCTCATGGGTGGGGGCCAGGGGGGAAGGACATTAAGTTCCCCCCCTTATTAGTATTTAGGACCCCCACCCACCGCTCAGGGGTGAGAACATTAGGAGGGAGGACATTAGGTCCCCCCTCTTATTAGTATTTAGGGCCCCCACCCACCGCTCAGGGGTGGTGCCAAGGAGAAGGACATTAGGGCCCCCACCCACCGCTCAGGGGTGGGGAGGACATTAGGTCCCCCCCTATTCTAATTTAGGGCCCCCACCCACTGTTCAGGGGTGAGGGCCAGGAGGGAGGACATTAGGTCCCCCCCCTATTCTAATTTAGGGCCACCGCTCAGGGGTTTGTCCCCCCTTATTTTAATTTAGGGCCACAACCCACTGCTCAGGGGTGGGTGCCAGGGGGGGGACATTAGGTCCCCTTTATTATAATTTAGGATCCCCACCCACCGCTCAGGGGTGGGGGTCAGGGGCAAGGACACTAGGTGTCTTCCCCCCCCCTTTATTCTGATTTAGGGTCCCCATCCGCCACTTAGGGGTGGGAGCCAGAAGGACAATAGTTCCCCCACCCCTGTCATTTTACTTTAAGGCTCAGGGGTGGGGGCAATAGAGGGGACTTTTTTTTTTTTTTTTTAAACAGTGAGCAGCCACAGGCTGCTCACTGTTTAATAGACCTGCCCCTACTCGCAGTATAGCAAGTAAGGGCAAAATTTACTAATACTAAGTAATTTTTACTACGTATTAGTAAATTTGGCTGAAAGACCAAGTCAAATGTTACCTCATACACGCTATAATAAATATTTGCACATCATTACATAACTATAAAAGATTTTAATACATTTCCCCTCCCCAACCCTTCCTTTATTTTCTAGAGATAAGATAATAGCATCATGAAGTTATTGTTTTACAGATATCTATATATTTAACTGTCTTTTGAATTCATTATGTACTGCTGAATATATTGCTGATACAAATAAGATGATGCAATTATGTAATTGTACAATAAACATTTGATTAAGTGAATATATATTTTACTTTTTTTCCCATTTTAGAATACTGAATATATTATTGTAAAAATAATCGATTTTTATTAAAAAAAAAATATTTGAAAAGAATGGTCAAGTTATCTGTGTGTAACCAACACACAAATATATGGAAAATCAATACCCAAGGGTTCTAAAGAGCATCCATTAAAAATGAACTGGGAGAGGCATCTGCTTTCATTTTAGCACATACTTGAATAAACCTCTTCCTCCTTTTAGGAGTCAGAATCAGGAATTGTATCATAAGTATACCTTCACTGAAGTGTGAGATTCTATGATGGCAAGATGGGGCACGCAAAAAAAAAAAAACACACATACAAAATGAAAAAAAGTCTCTGGATTACCTTATGACCGTTTTTGAAAGCATTTGAATGTCAGTTACAAAGGCTGAAAAGAGACATGTGTCCATCAAGTTCAGCCTTCCTCACATGTGTTTTTTGCTGTTGATCCAAAAAGCAAAACAAAAAAACCTAGTTTGCAGCACTTCCATTTTTATAAGTGCTACTTGAATACTGGAAAATGCACATTGTGTAACGTTTTGGAAATATATTTTACAGAATGAAAAAACATAACCCTATTGAGACCCAACTTGTGATCTGTATTTAGTAACGCAAAATATTAAATACTCACATCGATTTTGTTGCAATTTCACTGAAATTCCTATCCAGTGAAAAGATATACTAAAACAAAGCAGGGACTACTTGTAGTATTTCTCCATCGCTTGTCAAAAAGCCATTAAAACCTTGTCAAGCCCACAGCTATCACTAACAAAAAGACTGTCTATAGAGGATCCTGCAAACTCCTCCACAGACTTCAGTGTTATATCAATCGTGTGTCGTGTGTGAGAGTACAGGGCAGACATAGGCTTCTGGAAGCTGAAGCGGTACACTAGCAGAAGGGCACTGGTTGAAAAATTATCGTGAGGGATGAGTTCAAGCACAACTCACCATGCCCTGCACCACTGGGCCACAGGACAGCCAGCGGCGATGTCTCAGTTGGAGATCTTTGTAACTTCTGCAAAGACTCCAGAAGCCGACAGAGACACTTAAATATCTATGCCAATTAGACAGGTTTGCGCCAAACCTAAGGAAAATGAACACATGTTCCAAAAAGTTTCAATTCTTGTTTTATATATTCCAAAAATAAAGTTCCAGATAATAGTGGGAATGACTTCCTACTTAAAGTAGTGATTTATTTATTTTATTAGGCACGTTCCACAGTACAAAGCTTCATCATAAACAATATATGTACAGATTCAGTAAGCTATTCATATACAGATGCTCCAAAAGCAAACAAACATGATTGTAGGCTAAACTTAGAATCATGGAATAATGTACATTTGCCCATTCATGGTTAGCAGAGTATGTCCAGAATGCAGTCAGGAATTAAGGTACTTGGGTATTTGGGTACCAAAGCTCACAATTCAGTCACATTCAACAGATTTACATGAGTTCTTGATCAAATAAAATGGTCACTCAAACATGCATTAAAGAACTCCATTAAGTATATACATCAAAATTACGGATTTATATTTTTTCTTTTACAGAAAGTGTTAAAGCTAAGTTGTGTATAGAGAAAGAAGCATTTGTTTGTACAAACTACCCTCAATGTTATTCAAATGCACACTGCAAAGACATTGTTTAAAAGGACTGCGTAACGATCTACAAAGTTTTTCTTCATGTCACCAATGTGAACTGTTTTAAAGCAACATTTATTTTTAATTACACATCATAAAACCACAAACTCCCCCTCTAAAAAACAAACAAAAAACTGTTGTGTCTATGGTTGGGGTGGGGGTATTAATACTTCCTTAGTGTGCTTTGTGGATTTAAAAATTTCTACCATAAAGTGTGGATGAACATGTATGTGACATGTAAAGAGACAATTTAAAGACCTTTTCATTCATATCCTCATATCCTACAAATAAATTATATACATAGCACGTACACTGAGCAGCCAGTCTATTAGGTTTACCATCAAAGACTGCATTTTGCATTTACTAGTTTTTAAGTACACCCTAAAACTCCACAGAAGACTGAATGGCTGACATAACCTTGCCAATAATTGAACCTTTCACTGAAATAATGCCGATGGGTTTTAACCTCCAAGTTATTTCAATGACAATAAATGTGAGAGGAAATGTCTTATAATTAAATGGGTAAAGTAGACTTCTGCACCATGTTTCATACCTGTCAGATACGAACAAGAAGCTATGCACTTACAAAGGAACAAGGAAAATAGACACATGAGTGACAGGATTAATGGACATTATGTCCCAAAACAGTAGTGGATCAACCTTTAAACTGCACAATATATCTGTACCATGCCCGCTCTGTTTATCCAATCATAGCTAAGGGCCAAAATGAATACTTGCTAAGCATGGCTAATTAAGAAAGGCTGCAGGAATATGAAATCGATTTTTGCATAGTTCAGTACACCTTCCATAATTCATATATCTCAAGTTATTTGGGTATATGGATGTTGAGATGGGATGTAACTGCTTCATGAGAACTCTGCCACCTACACATTTATAACAGAAGTAGTCTGTCTAGAATGAGCCAGATTGCCTGTGTCATCTATGCAAAACCTTACTGAAATAGTAAACTTAATATTTCAGTTTTGAGGGCTTAAAAATATTGTTAATGTAGGTAGGTCTGAATAACAAACTAGCCACTAATTAGATATATACACATAATATATATATATATACATATATATATATATACATATATATATATACATATATATATATACATATACATATATACATATACATATATATATATATATATATATATATATACACATACACACACACACACATACATATATAAAATAAAAATGGTTCTGAAAGATCCTATATTTTGTGCTTATGAACACTCTTAAAAAGTTCATTGTTAGCATGCGCTCTCAAGGTGTACCTGTTATCCAAAACAAATATTACATCAGAGCAATTTACCAAGTACCACTCATTGCAGTTTTTTGGTTTATGAAGTATGAACGGGGATACAGATGTTATTAAACCAGCCCAATAGTACTTAGAAGGATGATGGGTCAAGTTGGCCCTGCTCGGTATAAATCTAGTGATTTTAATTTTTTTAACAGTTTCTACAAACGGCGTACTTTTAAATAAGTGACCTAACCAACCAGCATAAATAAACAAAAGCACTTCTGTATGGTGCACTGATTAATTAGTCCAGATATCATTTATCTTGCCTTTTTTTTTTTGAAAATAAAAGAGTATGATGTTACCTTGGTTGTATACTTAAAAACTCTTTAACCATATTTAAAAATTAGTGTCAAATAAAAATTAAAGCTTAGATTTGTGCCATAAATGATACAGATATAAATATCGCAGTCGGGGTGAATTACTAAAATATCTTCAAAATGGCATTATATTACTGAACACTTTTTATTCCAACAAACCTTTTCTGATATGTATCTATATTCACACACACATCTACACAATCTAGTGATTACTGTACATAAACTATGAGTTTAAAGGGTAAACCTGGAAGGAAATTGTGTATAATACATTGATTCGCATAAAATCAAAAGGTCTAATACTTATCCTTAAAGTTTTCATTCAAATTAATTTATGCAAAAACAAAATTATTTGTAGGCCTTTCTGGGATGCAGAAGCAAAAGAATCACAAGTGTTTCCTTTAAATACACTTGTCTTTGAAGTATATATTTAGATTGTACTTTATGATACATTTAAACTCCAGAGGAACCTCATCCAATATATTGTATATAAATAATAACATTACAAAAAAAAAAAAAAAACCCTAAACAAAAAAATACTGTATATACTTTGGCACAAATTATGAACAAGACAAACATACTAAAAGGTTTGGAAATTAAGTTTAAAAACGGTTTTACGTATAGTACAATGGAATACTGTGATTCTTTCACAAGAGGGCATTTTCAATTAAGATTAGATCTGTGTTCTTGGCAATAGAAATTTGCTTGTACTACTACGTCTGTAGTACAAAAGGTCTAGTAGCATGTGTAATTACTATACATGTATTGATTAATTTATTACACTGACCATGAAACACCACAGCTTAATAGCATTAAAAAAAACTACAAAACACAATTATTTAACACAGTAGGTCTGTGTACAAGAGTGAAAGGATACAAAAGTAGCACAGTCAAATACAGTTTTAATATCTTAACATACACATGCTAAACAAAAAAAACAAAAAAAAATGAATAGAAAAATGAAAGACCATTGCTGTGTTTTGTGGTCGTACAGGTGAGAAAAAAAATAATCAAAACACATGGCATAATTTGGATATGTGTTTGGCATCCAAATATTACTGGAAAATGTTTTTGTTTTTTTCCCCTCTTAAAGTCACAAAGTGCAAAACATTTCATGTGAGGTCACAACTTTTCTAGCCTCTTTTCTTCCAGAAAAAGGTTCAGTTCTTATGCACAATTTACATTTTAAGCTTTGGGTATTTCGATGCAGTGACTATACAGAATATTTTCAATTTGCAGAAATTAATTGAAGATCCGAGTATGGCAGAAATTAGATTAAACGATATGGAAATGTAACGATATAAAATTAAACTTTCTGCTTTGCATCAACATGGTATTGACAACCATTTCCAATTATTAGCTTCTTGTGGTAGCCACTTATCCAGTAGTTCAAGATAGCCAGATCCTGAAAAGAGAAAGGGATTGGTTAATTTAAAAAAAAAAAAGGTATAAATACATATATTATACACACACACACACACACTTAAAAAGGAAAAACTATTTCTACATTTATTTCAAGCAACCAAAGAAATTTCCTGAAGAAGATAAGGCCAACTAATGTTTTCTTGTCCCAGGACAATATCCCTCTCTGGTCCCATGAACAGCCATCTAGAGCTGTGCTAGCTACTACAGGAAGAAATAAAGCTCTAATGACTCTGCTCCCACTAGACGCTGGGGATAAAGCCCCAGCAACTAACAAAGAAAAAAAAAAAAAAGTCAAGAGGAAAGGACTTGCAATAATAAAACAAAACCACTGGGATATGGGGAACCAGTGACAAGTCAAAACAGCAGCACAATCTTCTTCTGAGAGCATACTCTCACTGGAACCTCACTTTTGGATATAGGTCAAATAAGCAAGATGTCAAAAAGCAGATAAAGTCTCTACCTGTCCAGACACTGACAATCTCATCCTTGCTCCACTGGACTCTTGGTCCAATATGGCGCCTACAGGAGAATGGTCCACATTCTCATTGGATGACATCTCCACAGACAAAGGAGAAGAAGCCCCATTTAACATGCCTCCTTGTGTAATACTGAAAAGTTTATTTGCACACTTATGTTCTACGTAATGCAATTGTGGGTGTGAGGCGTATCTTATTAGTGGAAGTTTCTACTAGCACCCATGATTCCAGACGGGCATCTGTAGAGCAGAAACTTACTGCAGTTTCATGAGATGTGTGTTGAATTAGATACACAAGGAGATCAGCAAAGATGTTACAACATTAAAACAAGAGGCATTTTAAGATAAAACAAAATAGACCTCACAGACATGGGCGTCCGTATGAATTTAATTGTAATGACATCAATGTTTGGACTTTTTTGCAGGGCTGGACAGGGGATACAAAGCAGCACTGGAAACAAGTGTGTGTGTGTGTATATATATATATAATATTATTGGTATGTTTCTTTTTCGAATTCAAAATATTGGTTCTGTTAGTGTAAAAAATTATAAATTTTACAGTAAGCATGCTCACATGCAGACAGACAATCTCATTGATACACACAAATAGGCTCACTGACAGACAATCTTACTGGTACACACAAACTTACTACAAACTTTGACACTCACACAAGGTTAATACAGACCACCAACTCATTGGTATACAAACACAAACTTACTACAGACAAGCTTACTGTAACACACACTCTCTACAGATTACTTTCACACACATGCTCCCTACAAACAAGCTAGCTGACACACATGCTCACTACAGAAAAGCTAGCTGACACACACATACTCACTACAGAAAAGCTAGCTGACACACACATGCTCACTACAGAAAAGCTAGCTGACACACACATGCTCACTACAGAAAAGCTAGCTGACACACACATGCTCACTACAGAAAAGCTAGCTGACACACACATGCTCACTACAGAAAAGCTAGCTGACACACATGCTCACTACAGAAAAGCTAGCTGACACACACATGCTCACTACAGAAAAGCTAGCTGACACACACATGCTCACTACAGAAAAGCTAGCTGACACACAAGCTCACTCCCCATCAGACGCGTGCACACACGCTCACTCCCCACCAGGCGCGCGCGCACACACACGCTCACTCCCCACCAGGCGGACACACACACACAAGCTCACTCCCCATCAGGCGCACACACACACACACACACACACACAAGCTCACTCCCCATCAGGCGCGCGCGCACACACGCTCACTCCCCATCAGGCGCGCGCACACACACACACGCTCACTCCCCATCATGCGCACGCACACACACTCCCCATCAGGCGCGCACACACGCAAGCTCACTCCCCATCAGGCGCACACACATGCAAGCTCACTCCCCATCAGGCGCACACACACACACGCTCACTCCCCATCAGGCGCACAAACACACAAGCTCACTCCCCATCAGGCGCACACACACAAGTTCTCTCCCCATCATGCGCGCACACACACACACAAGTTCTCTCCCCATCTTGCGCGCGCACACAAGCTCACTCACTATCAGGGGCACACACACACACAAGCTCACTCACTATCAGGCGCACACACACACACAAGCTCACTCACTATCAGGGCACACACACACACAAGCTCACTCCCTTTATCAGTAGCGCACACACACACACAAACTCACTCACTATCAGGAAGCACACACAAGCTCACTCACTTTCAGGCACACACACACAAACTCACTCACTATCAGAGGCGCACACACAGGCTCACTCACTTTCAGGCACACACACACACAGGCTCCCACTCACTTTCAGGCACACACACACAAGCTCACTCACTTTTCAAGGCACACACACAGGCTACTTTCCAGGCACACACACACAAGCTCACTTTCAGGCACACACACACACAAGCTCACTCACTTTCAGGCACACACACACACAAAGCTCACTCACTTTCCAGGCACACACACACAAGCTCTCACTTTCAGGCACACACACACAAGCTCACTCACTTTCAGGCACACACACACACACACAAGCCACTCACTTTCAGGCACACACACACACACACAAGCTCACTCACTTTCAGGCACACACACACACACACAAGCTCACTCACTCAGGCACACACACACACGCTCACTCACTTTCAGGCACACACACACACAAGCTCACTCACTTTCAGGCACACACACACACAAGCTCACTCACTTTCAGGCGTGCACACAAGCTCACTCACTTTCAGGCACACACACACACAAGCTCACTCACTTTCAGGCACACACACACACAAGCTCACTCACTTTCAGGCACACACACACAAGCTCACTCACTTTCAGGCACACACAGACACACTAGCTCACTCACTTTCAGGCACACACACAAGCTTACTCACTACCAGTCACACACACACACAAGCTCACTCACTACCAGTCACAGAAGGCTGTGGGAGACTTGGAGCACTGGGAGGCAAAGTCTGTCCTCTGCCTTCCGGCACGTGAGCGTGGAGGTTGAG